ATACGCGGGAGGTACGTGCCCGGTGCAGGTTGAGTCATCCCGGGGAAGAGGAAGGGCAGTTATCTTGCCGTTCATTTCGCGGTCGGTTACGACCGGCTAATGTCAACGCGAAGACGCATCGCTCGTATCAAGGCGGAATTTTTGACTAATGCGAATCGCCTAATTGGATCCGTTCGATGCCTCCAATAGGCCCCTCAGTAGTTTGCCTGATTCTATCGCAAGGTTAAGGCAATTAATCAATTAGTCGATTAATTCATTAAGCCGCGCTCGGTTGTGACCGGCTGATGTCGTTGCATAGAGACGCCATCGCTTGGATGAAGGCATAATTTTTTTATTAAAGCGATCTCTTCGATGCCTCGAATGGACCCTAGGGCTTTACCTAATTTTAGTGGAAGGTTCAATTAACGAATTAAACCGGGCTATTCCTTCCTGATCTAGTAGAGTTACGGTTACCCGTGAGACGTCATTACTGGCTCGTCCGAATTTAATATCCGGAATAAGAAGGGGGGCCACAACTGTGCAAAGAAGTCGGGAACTCGAGGCGAACGCGTTGGCAATCGTTTTCGGGAGACGAGGCCGCCCTCCTTGTCGAATAACGCTCGAGCACCGACGAGGCTCTTCTCGGAAAGGCCGGATGATTGCGCGTGTACGTACACGAGACGTACCGAGTCGCCTCTCTTACGTAACCCGCGAGTTCTGTTCCGCGGCCAACTATTTCGCGGGATTACAATCGTCTCGCGGCGAGACCATCCTTCGCGTTCCGGGACGCCCGACATCGTTTTTTCTTCCGATTAATCGGCGGGACCGAGTCCTGGAATCGGCCGCGCGACCGGCCTCGATCGCTCGACTAATCGTTCCCCGAGCGAGGCGAGAGAGGCGAGTTCGCGAATCGCCGTTTCCTCCGTATTTACGATAGGTCCGTCGACCTTTCACTGACGTAATCGCCGGCTGATTATTCCGCGGTTTGACTCATAGGCGGTCGCTTTGACGTCGCGTGTCGTCTCGCTTCCATAAAAAGCCGGAGGCCGCAGAAATTGTTCACGCGAGACAAGGAGTACCGGGAGTCCGAGTGATTCGTTGAGCAAAGGGAATCGCATCGACTTGTTACCTCGGTGTCTCCTCGACTCGCGTTTTTTCCGCCGAAAGGCGGATTTTTCCCACCCATCCGAGCGTTTTATCCGAGAGAGGGGAGACACGCTCGCTATGCGGAACTCCCCCGTTTTTCCATCTGGCCGTCTCGCTCGGACACACCGCGTAATCTGCAAAGTGCGCATTCCTGGGAGATACTCGCGACGGGAGTACACAGGACGTCTTTGTTTGGACGCACGGTCCGGCTCTCGGCGGTGATTGTAAATAACGAGCGAGACGGCCATTCCGCCGCGATATATTTTACCAGCCTCGCGTGGAAGTGACTGGCCTCTCAAAGAGGCATTCGGAGCGCCGGCGGTCCCTTTGGGCGCTCCTCGTAATCTCCTCCTCGAGAATTAGCTCCAGACGCAGTTACGACCAGACGCGTTACTCTTCCTTCCGGAAGTCCTAATAATTGACCCGTGGACCTTAAACCTATAATAAGGTCAGGGGAGAGGGCGCGAGTGCGCGCGGGTCTGAACGTCGTGGCATGCAAATTAACCTAGAGGAGATATGTACTCTACCTGGTCCCCACATGCGTCCCGAAGTCCACTTCGGGGGGGCGCGAAGGGGGCTGCCTGCGGAAGACCTCGGGAGACGAGGTGACCCCTCCGGCGGACTCCTCGCGTCTGACTCGGCACGCCCACGCGCGCGGCCTTTTATACCCTCGGGCTGACCGTTGCGCGCGAAGGTTCGACGCCCACTTCGTTTTGGAGAACTAACCTGCGGAATGAAAACACGCGCAAATCGAAGCTGTAACTAGAGGGAACGTACTCGACTACTGACCGGCATTTCAAATCGAAGCATTCGTGAAATAAAACCTACTCCTTGTACGTCATCCAGACGAACGTTTCGACCTCGGGCTAGTCGCCTCGGATATCGAAAGAAATAGGATCGCCCTCGGATCGAACGCGTTGAGAAAGGAGACCGAAATAAAGTGGATGCAAGAAGCGGTCCCCGTGTACCCATTTTATTTCTGTCTGGACATTTCCCAACGCGTTTCGCGCGCGCAATCAACGGCGAGCGCGAGCGCGAGAGATTACTTTCGAGGAGCGAGTTGCGCGCAAATTGGGCACCAATGCGATTCTAATTGGCTTATCGTCCCCGATGCGCCGCGCTTAGTGTGACCCCCGACGCGCGCAGTGGGACCCCGGCCGCGGGGCTGTCGCGATGCGCGGTCGATGCGTCGTTCGGCGAGTCTCGACGTCGCCAAAATTCCACAAGGCTCGAAACCGCTTTTTCTTCCCACCGTTGCACACTCGCCGGACGACATTCCTGCCTTTGTCCTCGTTTGTAAACGCCACCTCGAGACAAGCCCGTCTTTCCCTGACGTCCTCTCTCGGGCGCCACTGGAATCGGGAAAAAAAGAGGATTCGTCCCTCTCGTTCGAACGGAGTTTCGCGGAGATCTCTGCGCATCGCGTTAGGTCGTAACTGCTTCTAGACCGCGTCCTTACCCCGTGGGGAATTTTCTCGAGTGACACAATGTCGGCGGGGCAATCGGCCAGATTATTGGAACGTTCCATCCGGGCAGTCACGGGTTACTGGGTGTCTGGAAGGAAAAAGGAGAGTACGTAAGAAAAATAAGATCGCGCACGAGTCACGGCGTCGTGGACTTTATGCCGCGGCATGGACACAAAAGATAAGAGAGAGGCGCTCGGCATTCCACGGGGGCATAAATCAGTCAACGAGTGCGGCGACACTCGGGCTTTATGGATGCGGCGTGCCGCTCGTGCGACCCCGCTTGCCGCGTTATTTTGTAGGAGATATTGCAGAGGCGATTCGAAAAGTACGCACGGAGGCAAAAGTGCTCTCGCACCTCGCCTAGAGGTTATGTAATGCAGCGCGGAGCACGCGGGCGACTCGATGCGTGCTCGGCCGGTACGGCAGACCTCGTCGCATGGTTCTCACGCGTGGCCGGTCGTCCTTCGCGGAACACTTATCGCAGGTTTACCCTGCCGAGTCGAGAGATTATCGAGATCCGTTCCTCTCGTCGACGAGACCGACGAATTCCGTTTTGGTTCGACAAAACGTACTGGTATACCGCTGGCTTCACATAGGCGCCGATGGCGGTCGTTTCGTATTACTACACTGAGAAAAGAAAAATTCATTGAACCAAAGAAATATCTCTGAATGGTATCACTGATATATTTAGTTGATTCCAAGAATAATTATTTGACTGAAATAGTCTTAATCCCGAATAAATGTTGCATCCAAATTATTTAAGTTTGTTCTAGTCGAAGAATTATTCTTTGAATTTAGAAAATATTTCTTTGGTACTATTCAAGGCTGTGTGGTGCGTTTCTATTTCCTTTCATTTCATATGGTAAACAATGCGATTGGGTAGGGACGTTCGACCTTAAAACTGCGAGAATGCGTCGATGATTTCCTGAGTGAATACCCCCTCGGTTCCGCCGGCCCTGTCGCCCAGTTTCGGCTTCGCGCGTGGAGGCGCCGATTAGTTCGCGGGGTCGCCGGCGGCGAGGCGCGGCGCTGCCGGCGCGACTGCGAGCACCCGCCACGAGCGCCGCCAGTCCGCCGCCGACCGCTCTTCGTCGCGCGTGTCCACACTTGCGCCTTCGATCCGGCGGCCGTTTTCCGCGTTCTCGCCTCCATTGTGCTCGCCTCGAGTAACCCCGTACGTCGCACCGTCTTCGTTCGCGATTCTTTGGGACGTTTCAATCCTTCCAGAACCTCTCGTTAACGGAAACTGAATGCCACGCTTCCATGGCGAAGTGCATACCGAGACGCCAGCGCGGTCACGCGATTCGAGAACGCCGAGTGCGCGACTCCTCGCAGAGACCCTCGTGAATAGAGTTCCACCTCGGTATTCGTACCGACACCTGGTGACAGTGATTCCCTAAAACCGGGACGCGTCAAGATACCTTACGAAGAAAGGAATCGAATTTTCCTCACGACGTTTTTTTTCTTAACGGTTCCCAGTGAATCGTCTTAACCCGAGGGAAAGAACCTCGTGGCATAGATGCGCATTAAAGTGAGTTTTCGTTATACCACGATCTAGGTAGAGATCTTAAAAAGAGACAACTACGATACATATAATTAACAAATACATTGACCCTTCCAGCGTTTATTTCTGTCTGTTATTTTTTTGTTCTCATTTCAACGAGTTCCAAAAAATCAGGCGACACGCTTACAAGCTTGATTCCAAGCAGCCGAAAGTGTCAAGAATGACGATTAAAACTTGTATTGACATTTTCTCATCGATCGATATACAGAACCTTACGTAATTAGCCTCTCGTCTCTTTGGAGATAAGTCTTAATTATCTCTGTACACAATCTGACGATTAATCCGGAAGACAAATTTCTTTTTGAGGTTTTGACCATTTACGCCATTGCGTCGATTCGCGAGCAGGTGGGAAATAATTGGACGACCAATGATTATCCTTGCTTTCTAGAGGAGAGGCCGAAAAACGTTTTGACGGGGAAAAGACGCGCGCGTCGCGGTCGCTCTGGCTTCTTTAAAACCTGTTTGGAATACGTGGCAACGGTGCCTTTGTGTCCGGCGACGGTCCCGGCGAGCGAGGCGTCGCGCCTCGCGATGCCTTCGTAATTTTTCATTAATTTAGACCTAAGCAATGCGTAGCGAGATATCACGCGCGTCCGATTTGTGCTCGAATTGACGCATCGTCGATCGCGCATTCTCGACACGTTGGCCGTCTGACAAAAACGATCCCTTTCTACTGCTCGCCGGTCCGGCATGCGAGCGGCCGCGTTTACTCTAAAGGTCGGTTCACACGTGTATCCGGGAATCCATCATAGAAAGGTCTTAATCAGAATCGAAAATTTGTCGGGCAAGCTTGGATGGAGTAACGCAGCCATTTAATTGTCTCTCGTTTATCTTTATCGTTGCAGATGTCGGAGTTCCCTGTGGAGGGGGGAGAAAACGGGGACATGCAAGCCGCGATGGAGAATTTTCAGAAGAAAAGCAACCTCGTGGCCGGGAGGTCCCACGTGACGCACTCGCATCACCCACAGGTCACGAGCTCGTCACAGGTACGCGATTGTTTCCTCGAATTATTATAATATTAACCCTCGGTTCGTGTCACGGTTTTCAATCAAGGTAGCTCATGTACGTCCATGGACCATTCGCGTCCCGAGTTTATTAAACAACGTTGAAATTGTGCAATCTCTACCGAAACATTCATCGAACCTTCTAGGGAACGTCGTCTTAAAAAAGGAAAAATAATATATAACTAATTTTTTAGCCGAATTAAAGTTAACAGGATCGTTCGAGATGTTACAGGGAACAGATTTTGGCCGGACGCGAACGACCCACTGACACGAGCTGAGGGTTAATTCTCTAACGTCTAAAAAAATCGGGAAAAAAATTAAGGCGATATGAAAGAGTCATTCTACCTATCTAAAACGTCAAAATATTGATAAGAACGCGATACTCGGGAAAAGTCATTTTTCAAAAGAAATAAAAAATAGAGCACGTGTCCTTGGTTCTAGTCTAGGATAAATGAAAGTATTTTTTCTTCTGAAAAAAAAAAAAAAAATTAAATTTAGCAAGCATCGCTGAAGTTTCCGATGTTTCAGCTCGTCCAGTTTGGATGCGTTTTATATGCTTAGAATAACCCTTTCATAACACCCTAAAGACATTGAAAATATTTTGTTTGGCCGGATATGCAAAACGAGGCGAGGGGGAGTTCCCAGGAAGAGGACCGATCACCGCGAAGGAACGCAGAGCGGGGAATATTTTCCACGTCGAAGGCAGAAATCGGCATTTCGACACGTGTTTATCTCCGTTGCACGGCCGGCAACGTGCAGTTTGTTCCCCGAGGGCGGGGGAGGAGTCGCCACCTGTGCAAGCGCCCCCCTCGGGGCCACCTCACCTGCATTCTTCCCTCGAGTAAACTGCACGAGTGCAAGGTCGCTCTCCCCGTTCGTCTCCTCTCCGCGTAATTGCGTGCCGGCATTCTAATCATTTCCAGGCATCATTGAGACAACCGCTCGGTCGTTTCCTCGGATCTTCCCGCTTCGGAGACAAAACGCGACTTCTCCGAGTTGGACCCTCGTCGCCCCTCCTGAGGTCTTCCACGACCGGCACGGAATTGTTCTTCCTCGAAGGAAGCAGAAAGCTGACAATTTCGGCGGTACTCGGAACCGCCCGAACGAGACAATTCGGTTTTTCCCCCCGGTGACTCCCGACAGGAAATAATGATCTCTTCTTTTACACTTCGTCGGGTCTTGCCGCGAAGGCTGGCGAAACGTTTACGCCGGGAACTCGGGAAGGCCTGGTGCTGTTTATTTTTTCGATTTGCATCCTTAGACGTACAGGCAGTCCATTATGGCCAATCGGAGCCGAACCACCTAGTGTCTCTTTAAACCGGTTGCGCAATCGCGCGACAATGTTCCCCGACGCCCACTTCCTGGTACACAATGTAGATTGAAATGTAAATACGTACCGAGGGGGGGAATATGGCCAGTTTTTTAAATTCCCTTCCGGATTTTTCACCCGTCCAGGGTCCGCCGGTCGAAAATCCCGCCGCGGTTCCGAGAACCCCTGAGTCGTTTGTTTCTTTGTTTTGCCTCCTTAAAAGTACAGGGAGTCCATTGTGGCGTGTCGGGGCCAACACCTAGCGTCTCTTTAAACCAGTTGCGCAATCGCAATACGACGTTCTTCGACGCCCACCTACCGTATCGACTGGCATGCCGCTTCTTAAATTTCGACGGATCGTTCTCGACATTTTTTTCCGTCCAGGTTCCTTCGGTCGTTTATGTAGTGCCGAATCGGGTCACGTTTTACCACGTGAATATGGACACTATGGAAGGTCCTGATACCTATAAAATTTCAATTTTTTAAACATTTGTTAGTAGATATTTTTCACATTTTTTTTTAATAAAAAAATGAAATTTTACGAGTGTCAGGACCTTCCATATAGGTTCTGTATTCACATTGTAAAGTTTGAAACGATTAGGTACACCCAGTTGGTAGAAGTTTCACGAGCGATTGTCACTTTCACACCTTCTTGATAGAGGTATCCCTTCGTAATTCCCTTTACCTTGAGGAGGAGAATGTAATTTGGTTGCCCCTGTATCGGGTCGCCGATTGGCTGCGAACCCGGAAAGCCGACGCGTTATTGGCTGGCCGGTTCGCGTTAGCGGAGGTAGAGGTAGAGTCGCGTGTACAGTAGTCACAGTGAGTCACTCGGGTGGATTTTAATAGAACGAAATGTCGCTTGACTCCCGCCAGATGCTGACGAACCAGAGCCAGAGCAGCAGCACGACCAGCTCCAGCAGGGTAGCCAAATCCTCCCAGAGGATCCTGACGTCCTCCTCGTCCTCGTCGTCCTCGAGCGAGATGAAGGCGAGCTCCATGAAGAGCGACCTCACCGAGCTCAAGCGCGGCATCTCCGAGATGAAGAACATGTCTACCAACTTCTCCCAGCGGCTTCGCAGCAGCATGGAGAACCTCGTGGACAGGTGGGTAAAGAGTCGCGTTCAGGTTGCGATAAAAGTATAAAACAAAATCTCTGAGATAACGTCTTATTATATGAAATTTCATTTTGGGCGGTAACAGGTGCGAGCTCGTATGCTATCCGACTGGAACAGTGAAACCCCCCCTTTTTTACAGTAAATTATTATTTACATTGATTACTGTATTTTAGTGATGTGAGTTAGTGTTCGCATGTTATTCCCTCGGTTGATTATTGACATTTAAAATGAAGCTACCGGTACCGAGCGAGTAAGGGGATTTTTTCAATGAATAATTCAGAATAATTAGGGATATCTGTAAATGTTTTTATTTTTAATTTAGAAGATATCTTTATCCTCGCAGAGACGGAAATGGGCCAGAGGAGTCGGACTTGGTGGAGCCTTTGGTGACGTTCCCTGACCCCGACACCCCGCCACCTGCCACGGGGACTGTCACCTTGACGGGAGGCTCGCCCTCCCAGCTGAGCTCCCTCAATTCCCTGAACAATCTGCACGGCATGAGCCCGCCTATGAGCATGGCCAGTATACCCAACATGTCGACCATATCCAGTCTGCCGGCCGGTCCGGAGACCATGAAGTTCGAACAGAAGAAGGTGACCAGCGCCTCGAAGACGAAGGTGGGGAACGCTCTTCTCGGCATGCAATTAATTACCAGCGATGCAGTTCCTCCTAGGCTTTCGGGTGGGATCGAAGAGACCTTCACGTAGCGTCCAATTAGTCACCGGCTGTGCGGTTCATCCCAGGCTTTCGAATTCGATCCAAGATATTTCCCGAGCCCTGCCAGGAGCGATAATCCGGATGAGGGAGAACGGTTCTCGGTCATGAAAGTTGCAGAGACGCGATCTCACGGTTCCATGGCGCAAGACTCGTCGAGGGGAGTGGTACCGATCCTCCCGAGTTGTGTTTCTGCTAACGCCAAGGTCACTGCTCCTCCTCGGGCAACACTTTGTGCGCGGGTTTATATTTAGCCGCGTTACCTCGAAGGGGCCGAAGTTGCCTAATCGCGGACCGAATCGGCACGGAAACGCGCCACCGCTCGTCCGTCTGTCAATCCTCGCATTTTCTGCTATATTTATACGCGTTTCCGAAGCTTCGCTCTATTATTACCCGCCGTGCCCGAGAACCGTTCGCCGAGGGTCGGCTCGAAGGTCCGTCGTAATGCAGGAGTAAGAAAACGCCTCCTCGACGCGAGCCTTCCCTCGTACTCTGACCCGCTTAAACTTCGAAATATCGTTCGAGGTAGATTTGGGAATTTGGGAGGAACCGCCTTGTGGGTGACCTCGTAAAAATCCGATTTCTAGGCAGAGCCTGCGCGTTCGGCGAGGTGAATCATCGAGGTGCCACTTATCGATGGATTTTCCTCGCCGGATAGTTATTTTGGCAGTTGATTCGAGGCTCGGGTGGCTTTCAGGTGGTCACCGACGGATTCAGTGCGGAGAAGGCGACCGCTAACAGCGCCGAGATGCGAGCCCTCCAAGCCGGCGATGTCAGCTACAAGGAGCAGAGTGCAGCGACCGCGGCTCGAGCTCGCGTAGAGTTGGACGGCGTCTCCGCGGAGAAGAGCGTGGCCGCCGCCAGGGTGAGTCACGACGGAGTCGAGTCGCCGAAAATCCAGGAGAAGCAGCGTGCAGGGTCGTCGACTCGCGTCGCTACCGAGGGAGAGGAATCACGCTGCGAGTCATTCATCGACCGCACTACGGCGAGGGTCGTTACTTCGACCGATAACGCGTTAGCCTTTACCCGGTTGCTTTTTGTACCCCGTAGAACACCAGGTTGGCAATGATTCGTGGAATTGCCGAGGCCGAGGCAATTTCGATTGGCCGCCAGCGTCGACACGACACGCGGATCGATTATTCTCCTTGGAACCTTCGCGACCCTCTTTGAGGCTCTTCGAGGCTGACGCGACAATCGCGTGCCATGCCTTTGCTCCCATCGATTCGCCCCTCACTTTGCATGGAAATTAATACACCAGAGGGTGGTTCGCATTCTGTATATCTTCCTGTATTGTTTTTCATGGGATGTGAGGGGGTGGAAGTGGGGTATTCCCGGGGGAAGAGGGCGAGCCTGGCGCCAGGCGTCTCGGTGGAGGAATCCTTTCCTCTTGAAGTTCCTTTTATTCCGAGAGCGTGGGAATTCGGGAGATGGGGGTAACCCGGGATTACTATACCTTGGAGTAGGGGCGTCGCGAGGGCGACCGGGTCAAGTATCGACCGGTCGATATACCGACCTCTAGGAGAACTCCTTCCACGGGGTTTCTGTCAGTCGGGCTCTGTCCGCCCCTGTGAGCGATGGGCGTGCGCTTGGCGCGACTCGCGAGGGGACTCTTTCCCGTCCTCAGACCCGGCTTCGGTGCTCGTACGAACCTCATCACCGGTGTCAAGGATAGGGATCCTCCTGGGGAACCTAGGAAAAATGGGGTATGACCTGGTTTGTCGCTCCCTCTGCGATTTTCAATCGGACAGGGCCCAACGGTCGGCGAAGGACCTCCAATTTTGCGGAAACACGCGAGCACAGTCGGTGAGATCACCGGCGTGGTTTTTGGAAACGTTAAGTCACCGTCCCGACTAGGAACGATCGCTCGTCATCCGCGGGTTCTCCTACTCGCGACGTCGCATCCCGGAAATAGAACGAAATCGCGACGGCGCACCTGCTCGACCGAATTCTCACGGGCGTTGGGTACGTTCAAGGCCGCCGCCTTATGAATCACACCCCTGGGAAAACACTACCAGGGCTGGGAAATGTCCTTTGACTTTTTTTACATCTAATAGAGATTAACAATGATGGTTTTGATGTCGCTCGTTACTTGGATAATTAACAAATTCATGGATTAATGATTTCCATTAAACGAATCGGCGTTCGTTGGAAAGTCCGTCGCTTGACGTTGGTCAAGAGAGGTCGGAACTGATTGCCAAGACTGCGAGCGAAAATACCGTCTCGTGTCGTGTTTTTCTCTCTCCTCCTTTACGCAATGCGGTTAAACAAAAGAACTCGCAATTTGTTGTTACTGGCTGGGGGGAGGCTGGTGGGTATCTCCTTCTGACGAGCTTGGGAACTGGCTGGTAAAATTAAACCTTCCTACGTTAGTGATCCGGGGGGCGTAAACGGCGCGTTTTCGCCTCATTGCCAGAGATTTTACCGAGCTCTAGTATGCCGCGAGCTGTCAAACCGAGAATCTCTACCGCGTTTTTATTATCCTCTTTTTTTTTTTAATTTTATTTTTATGAGAGAAATTTGAGAGAACTTACCGGAAAGATTTCGATCATGAGTGCACCGTGGCCGGTAAATCGCGGCACTTTTCGCGGGAAATTTCGAAAACGATGGAGCTCGGTAAGTTCCCACGTGTCGAGGGCTCGAGATCGTGGAAGGGAGGTTAATCAATTTGCTAAATTATTGATAAACACTAGGTGTTAAAAATCGTTAGTAAATCAGGGATCATTTTAAGCGCCGCTTTGAGTTAACTGGTGGGAAAAGGCGAAGTGAACTTGATCCCAGGGAATTACTGGAAATTACCGGTGCCAAGTGATATTATCACGGGACACGCCTACTTGTATCTATCGTCAATATTCCCGGTATACATATATATCTATACACAGTCGCAAAAGATGCCAGAATCATCGGAGGCGTGCCCATGACGCTCGGGGGATTCGCAAAATAATCGGCCGTGACGTACGCATCGTTTTGGGATATTTTAAGTACACCTCGCTTCCGAAAACACCGAACCTCGTGACGCCTTTTTACGACCCATTCGAATTCCCCAAATTTCGCCTCTAGAAATATGTCCTGGACCGAAGAGTTCATTTTAAACTAGATTTATAGGGAGTTGAAACAATTCCTTTCGACAGCGGCATTTTTTTCTCCCCCTTTTGACTGATATTTCGGAAGAGCCACATAACGCAATTCGTTCGTACCGCGTCGATAATTTGGCCTTTGAGGGAAAACGCTAACTAGGCAAATTGGATGGACGGATATATAAAATTGCTTTCGTTCTTTACACGCAGGAACAGAGAAGTCTGAAAGCCGGAGACCTGTCGCACCAGGAGAGCAACAATGTGGCGGCATCGACCATGAAGTTGCAAAGTGACTCGTTCAGTTCGGAAAAAGTAAGTGAAAAAACTGCATTTAGGATTTCTGTTCATCATTCTTCACCCGTTCACTTGGATGCGAAATGTACGCTTATCGCCTCGATCGCCGCAATCTTTCTTTAACATGTCCCGTGCCAAGCCACTTTTGCTCGACTTTTCATTCAGGCCATTTGATATCTCGACCAGAGACCGACACCTTACCACGGAATATTTCGTGATGTCATTAGTCTGTCATTTATGCTAAATATGGTATGGAACGTGTTAAAGGGCTGGCGAACTTCTGGTCTCTTCGAATACGTCAAACGCACGTGGGTCGCTTCGAAATTCGGACGCCGGGGAGGAAAATAAAGATCCTCCGCCGATCCAGAAGTCTTCCGATCGGGGTTTTTCGTTTATTTTCGCCCGCGGCGCGTCCCGCTTTGGCGACGCTTCAAGAATCCGCTTCCGCCGCGTTGTAAATCCCGATTTAATAGCGCCATGAAGCATTGGCACGGAGGCCACGGTCGCTCCGCGCGTTCTCCGTTTTCCCGGATCGTCTCGAGATTTCCGCCGCCAGTCTAGATCGAGACGTTGCGGCGGTCGCATCGCGCTGACTAAAGTAGCCCGGTTCTTCCTTCTTCTGGAAAACTAGAGCGCGGAAAATGGGTCCGGACTCGCGCATGGTAGAAATGACGGGGCGATGAAAAAATACCAACGACCGATGCCAAAGGGACGTTGCGAGGAAAAGGCCATGAATTGAGCCGATCAATGGAAGTAGGTACCACAGAAATTTTCCGAGCGACTCGTTTCGCAGTTCCCAGAGTACTCTCAGAAATTCGGAAGCGCTCTTCCAGAGTCGCTAGAATCTCGGCAAATCGTAAGGCATTGCCTCAGATCGTGTACAACATTCGGATCGACCTTGTACAGCGTATCAACTTACGTTGAACCGTAACGTTGACGACAATGACGCTAATCATGCCTATTATTAACTTCCCAGAAAGCCATGGCGGCGCAACAGCAGCGACAGACGGTAACCTCCACTGGGATTTTCAACCAGGAGAAGCACATGGCGGCGAGCTCGCAGTCCAGCATCACGATAGCCTCGAAGGGATTGACCTCGAAATCGGCGTCGATGCTGAGCGCAGCTTCCGCGGTGAACCAGCTGATGAACGGCATCAGGCCGGCCGAGGACGATCTCCTGTCCCTTCCGCTGGACGACCTCGACCTCCTGCGCTCGAACTCGAACCCGCAAGATGTTGACCGGGCTATCGCTAAGTACTCCGGATTTTTGGACAGCTTCGTCGAGCGACTGAAAGCGAACGACGGGAAGAACGGCAAGGCCCCGTTGCTGTTGGACCGGGTGAACGAGATCATCAGGAAGGCCTGGGCAGTGCCGACTCACGGCCACGAGCTTGGCTACACCCTTTGCAACACCTTGAGGACCAGAGGTGGCCTGGACCTGCTCATGGCAAATTGCGTGGCCGGCGACCACGACCTACAGTTCTCCTCGGCTAGGCTGCTGGAGCAATGCTTGACCACCGAGAACCGCGCCCACGTGGTGGAGAACGGCCTCGAGAGAGTCGTCAACGTGGCCTGCGTGTGCACGAAGAACGCCAACTCCGTGGACCACGCCAGAGTCGGTACCGGGATTTTGGAGCACCTCTTCAAGCACAGCGAGGGCACTTGCAGCGACGTCATCAAGCTTGGAGGTCTGGATGCGGTGCTCTTCGAGTGTAGGAAAAACGATGTGGAGACCTTGAGGCACTGCGCCGGGGCGTTGGCGAACCTATCCCTCTATGGGGGTGCCGAGAACCAAGAGGCGATGATCAAGAGGAAGGTTCCCATGTGGCTGTTCCCTCTCGCGTTCCACAACGACGACAACATCAAGTACTACGCCTGTTTGGCGATAGCCGTCCTCGTGGCGAATAAGGAAATCGAGGCAGCTGTTCTCAAGTCAGGGACCCTCGACCTGGTCGAGCCCTTCGTTACGTCTCATAATCCGTATGAGTTCGCCAAGTCGAATCTCGCCCATGCCCATGGTCAGAGCAAGAACTGGCTTGAGAGGTTGGTCCCGGTGTTGAGCTCTAAGAGGGAGGAGGCTAGGAACCTGGCTGCTTTCCACTTCTGCATGGAAGCTGGTATTAAGAAGCAGCAGGGCAATACCGAGATCTTCAGGGCGATCGGAGCGATCGAACCCTTGAAAAAGGTGGCTAGCTGTCCCAACGCCATCGCCTCCAAGTATGCTGCTCAGGCTCTTGGCCTCATCGGTGAAGAAATTCCCCATAAGCTCAGTCAGCAGGTACCTCTTTGGTCCACCGAGGACGTCAGGGAGTGGGTCAAGCAAATCGGCTTTGCCGAGTGCGCGCCAAACTTCGTCGAGAGCAGAGTCGATGGGGACCTCTTGCTGCAACTCAACGAGGACAACCTCAGAGAGGATATTGGCCTCACCAATGGGATCAGGAGGCGTCGCTTCACCAGGGAGCTGCAGAACCTGAAGAAGATGGCCGACTACAGCAGCAGGGATACCGGGAACCTCAACAGCTTCCTGCAGTCCATCGGGCAGGAATTCTCCATCTACACTTACAGCATGTTGAACGCCGGAGTCGACAAGGACTCCATCAGGAATCTATCCGAGGACCAGCTACTCAGCGAGTGCGGCATCGCCAACAGTATCCACCGACTCAGGATACTCGACGCCATCAAGAACATGCAGCATAATCGGTTCAGCTCCTACGAGGACGAGTCGCCGGATAAATCCCTCGACGTTTTCGTTAGCTACAGGAGGTCCAATGGTTCTCAGCTGGCCAGCTTACTCAAGGTCCACCTTCAGCTTCGCGGATTCTCCGTTTTCATAGACGTCGAGAGGCTCGAGGCGGGGAAGTTTGACAATAATCTGCTGCAGAGCATCAAGCAGGCCAGACACTTCCTCCTGGTACTCACGCCCAAGGCCCTCGAGAGGTGCATACAGGACAGCGAGTGCAAGGACTGGGTGCACAGAGTGAGTTCAACGTTGACCGTTCATCGTCCGATTTCATCGACTTTGTACGATGGGCGATAATTTTGCAACATGAAATTGGCCTTCCATCTTAACTAATTAGAGTTTCATTTAACAGGAGATCGTGGCAGCTTTGCAATCGCAGTGTAACATCATTCCCATCATAGACAACTTTCAGTGGCCCGAGCCCGAAGAGCTTCCCGAAGACATGAGGGCGGTGTGCCACTTCAACGGGGTTCGCTGGATCCACGACTACCAAGATGCCTGTGTAGACAAACTCGAAAGGTAAAGACCCGTTTGCAAGGCGAAACCAATTTATCGCTCATACGTTTGCGGCTCCGATACTTACGGACAATTTATTTCAGGTTTATGCGCGGCGAGATCCCTGTCAGATCCGAGATGTCTGGCGGCATTCCGAGGAATATCGTACCTAAAGATGTCACGACTCCTGGAACTCCAGGAAGTACGAATATGCGGCAACCCCCGAATTATCAGAGGATGCACAGCAACGAGAGCAGGGGCAGCGATAAGGATTCCATCGGTGGACGAGATTGACTAGATGGCCCGCCCACAGCTATACCTAGCAGGTAGATTTCATTCCACCTTAAGACAATCTAAGGTACTTCGACTCTCCTACGTTGATTTCGGACTGCAGGAAGATTACATCGATGCTCTAAAATGTATGGAAATAGGAAAGTTTAGTAGTGTTGTCGTTTTGTATTTTCAAAGCTTCATTTTATTCGTACAAACTGACGAACCGCTAACACGTACCGTTGTTCTCTTTTCCATGCAGCAAGGATCAGGAAGCCGAATAAGACAATCAGGATTAGGTTAGTCGCTTGTACATCCTGTCGATGTTTATTGATGTTGGTCCTTGTTAGTGTTTGAAGTCGGTACATATTGATGGCACGCGAATCCCCGTTTTTAGGATGTCGTACATCTTTCTTGCCTGTGGCTCCACACCTTGAAGTCCTAGTGTGTTGTACGGTCACGGCGTATTCCTCTGTACAATGGAACATACAGTGGTTTAATCCTTGAAAATGGAGACGGCTGGATGTACTGTAAATAAAATGAACATCAGGGCCTGGTTTTAATAAATCTGTGTATTTTTTAGGCTTAGAAAATCGTCGAGTCCGTCCCGTTGGATGATGGGTCTGCCACCGACATCTCCACGACTGAAGTTCATCCATACGCATCCTGGTGGGAATCATCCAGTTCCTCGACGCCCCCCTCGTCACCCTGCACCTCCTTCAACGAGGTCCAAGTCTCTGGAGCTTTTGGATCAGAATGAGAAGCAAACTGTTACCCCGATTGCGGAACCGGAGCCACTGCCAAGGCCGAGATCTAGGAGTTTGGATGGTTTGCTGGACGAAGACAATACAGCGCCTGATATTGGCGAGGATAAGGCGCACAGTCAGGACAACGAAGAAGAAAAAGGAGGCAGCTCCGAAAGACGTCTTCGCTCCAAAAGCTTGAACAGACCCACCGATAAGGCACAAGATACTTTAGCAGAATCATCGAAGGCAAAAGTTGTGGAAACTCCTAGCGTTGAAGGTGGATGTGGAAATTTAGAAAAGGAGCAGGATGTAATGCCAAGTGATGATATTGGAAAAATAGCACATCGCTACGAGAGTCCAAGTCCTACACCAGTACGTAGACAGAAAGCAAAAATATGCTCTGCGGAGTCCAAGTTGGAACATAAGGATACGAACAGATTGGCGAAAGTGATGTTATCTTCCGGGGATTCCTGTAAAGGGCATAGGGCTCAAATGGGTTTAATGAAGACCAGTCAAAGTGTTAATGTCGATGATCAATCGGAATCTGTCGAGAGGTCGAATGCATCGGAGAGCGATGCTAGTGAGAAAAATCAGGGCTTCGATGAACCAGGTCGTGAGAGTAATCTCGAGGAGCAAATGCAGGAGAGGCTGTCCATGCCAAACGACGAGAAGTCTATGCTGCTTAAAGCTAAGAGCTGTGGTGCGGGTTTAGACTCCGATGAGAGTTTCTCATCGAGTGATTATAAACCTACGATTAAGGAGCAGGGTTCGCTGCTCTCCCTACCAACCGGAGCTGAGCCAAAAAGGAAAAGGAACTTTATGGACAAGTGCGTGAACAAAGTGCGATCCTTCATAAAGAAGTAGGAGCTCAGCCTTTGGTCACCGTGATAAAGACTTGTTATTTAATTTTTATTGTATAAAATAATCCGAAAGAGTTTCTTACGCGTTCGGAATTGTGAGCACACTCTGTTCAGGGCTGGGCATTATTTAAAATGAAATCCCTTCGGTGGTTTCGGTGTACATTTCGAATACTTATTTCATGTAGCGCAGAGAGATACTTGTATCAAGCAGACGACGCAAGATGGAATAATGCAAAATTATACGTAATCAATATACTGACAATGGACACGCGCGTTGAATCGTTTACTTGAAAATCATTATTTCAAATATTTCGTACTTAATGTCTTTTTTATGTGACGAGTAGGTATTTTAAATAATTTTTTTATAAAAAAAAAGAACTCGAAATGTCTCGTAGGATTTATTTCAAGTAGCTCACTTTACCCAGCCCTGTCAGTGCCTTAGGTGTTTATTCAACTTCCAAGCGAGACACCTTTACTATAGTAATGACAGTACGATAACTATTGTTGTGCCTTCAGTGCCTTCTTCGTAAGTTGCACGTTAATCGACGAACATTCTATTTCTTACGAGTATCTAGGCGAAAGGTTTTTTTAAGCTCGGCCTGTGCTGTATTTCAAGTGCCTTTTATATTTCCCCACTCTATTTGTATTATAGACGAATAATTTTATATAGTTGACTAGTATTTTATTTTTTAATACGCTATTTCTTTTTCTAGGCAATCCCTTTAGGATAACGACATTTTGTCTCTATTGTATTTGTTGCCGGATGTCGGTTGTGAACGACGGTTGTTTTTATTGCAGCTAACCCCAATGGATACGCACGAAGTTTTGATGTTAACGGTGGGTTGCGTTACTGTGTATGTATTATTTAACATAATCATATTTAATTAATGTATTGTATGTATTTAATAGTTAGATCATAATTCCGTATTTAATTATTTTGTTTATGCGTATCGGAGGAGCGACTCTACTGCCATGTAATCGGGTTAGAGCTAAATCGAGTTACTTTGAGATACTTCTGTACAGTACATTTGATGTACCAAGAATTTGGTACTTGTGACGAAACGTAAAATGTATATTTTACCAAAGTTTCGTACGGTGAAATAAGAACTCTATTGAAATGTTTGAATGTTTCTCGTAAATAAAAATTTTATTCATCGCACACATTCAATTCTTTTACAGTAAATGTAAAACCCGTATCTGATGCATCAAGAATTCGACGTCACTTCGTTAATAGTTAATAATTTTATCGAGCATTTATTTGTAGCAGAAGATCTAAACCTGTTGACTATTCGTTGTCAATTACAATGAACAAAATATTGTTTTATTATACAATTTAAGTGAAACTATTAGGTTGATGCATAAGTCATGGCGTTTTTAACACAAAACATAACATGTTAAAAAAAATGACATCAACCTAATATTTAAAACGTGCATGGTTTGCTTAAAAACTCAGATGCTGAACAATCAACAAGAGTACTAAATATATTGATAAGAATAATTTAGAAACTCATTTCCAGCAATAGTCAAAATACATGTCACGTGCAATATGTAATTAAATATAATTACAGTCAATTAAAATGTTCTCGCAATTGCTATCTCCAGCGACTTATAGTAAAAGGCACATTTATATCTCTGTATCATTAGTCTTTCTTGATGTAGCTGTTAAACAACGAATGACTGGAAATTGGTCACTTCTTAAAAATCATGAAATACCTCATTTTATAATACTTTAAGATCGTTCTACAGCATTATCTGTTAATGATGTCATCTCTGCCCCTCAATCGTCGCATGAGTATCATGTCTCTTTGCATAAGTGTAACACGTTTTGCATGTAACGTTAAAAGCATGGCATCTTCAAAGAACTGCGTTATGTACATTTCAGTTGCTTCTTGTAGAGCTTCCAGAGCTGATACTTGTATCCTAAAATCTCACAGATATTAAAACAAAACATTTTAATACATAGATTTAATTTATAACCATTTGATGTATACCTTTGAACATCTAATCTAGGGAAACATTCTCTAATTATTTCTCTAACGAGTCTTGCAAATGGTGCTTTGGGTATCAATAATCTTGTGGTTCTTCTTAAATGTTTAATTTCCTGCAATACTCGCATTGTCCGTCGCTTCGTCCGATTCCTATCGACGATAACAACTGTCTGATAGAAAGAACAACATTAATAAATGTATTAGCAAATTATATTAAAAAATATTATTTGCGCGATGCTTCAATTTGAGATTTAGCAATTTGTCTGGAAAACATAATTATCATCTTCAGAGTATATAAACTGATATACCTATTCTTCAAAACTTACATGGCTGGATTTTTCACTTGATGCGCCTTTATTCGAACCATCGGAACGACCGGAACGCGGACTGCATAAATTGAAATTATATACGGAATTAAATAATACACAAATGATCCGTATATAACCTATAAAAGTACGAACCTCGCTGTTGCTTTTCGTCTCACCATTCTGCCTGATATATTACAGTGCTATATCTCTTCGACGTATATAATGAATTTTTAAAATTAAACAACAAGTTACAATAAATATCTCTGTCATCAGAAGCGAATTATTAACATTTGTCAACAAACGGTGAAACTCCTCCTCCCGCCAAAACTATCAAACTGGAGCACACTGGTGTAGCGGAGTGAGCGCAAATGGCAGCGAATTTGCGCGGGAAGGCGAGGTTAAGTGTCGAATATTTAACATACCATTTTGACACCTCTAGTTTCTGATATTCTGTCATTGGAATGTCTTTTATTTATAGCGATAGTTATTTCAATCATAAATACTATTAAAAAATCGATCTGCATCAAATAAAATAGATATTCATGTTTTGAAACGCACACGAGCATTATATTCAAGATGGAGTTTTACAATTTCCACAACCTCTACTACCTGTTGCACCAAATTCTAAATTCATGTAATTTACCACAATTGTATAAAATATTTATTATCCATACACAGATTGAATGGTCGTATCGTAATACAGAGCAACTGTAAATAATAGTATGGCCTGATTGGTTTTTTTTATATTCCGCGTCGAAAGTTTGCACTGAACCATAGGTTATCGAGGTCAAATAGTCAAGAACAGGTTATGAATTGAAAGTTTATATTGTTTTGTTATTGAACAGAGAAAAAGACACTGTTTTAGTGCACACGAATTTTCATATTTGCAAAAACTGTGGAGTTGGCTCTGCACAGATGGCTACCTTGTTGCTGACAACAATTTAGCGTCGTTCAACCAGTCGATCAGTTCTCGTCAAAGGATTAAGTTGAGTAAAATTATGGTAAGCCATACAGCTTTAGTGTACGGTCCATACTGGTTGATGCTATGTATTGAGCATGCTTTCCAAAGCGAACACCAGTTGCAGTTGCTGTGTGATCATTCAGCACCTTCAATTCTTGCCATTGTTTACACAAATATACCCTGAAATTATTACAATTTTCATAATCTTAATTATCAAAGAGTCACAGAACAATTACCAATAGTAAATTTAATTTATCATACTCCTTACCTAACATCAGTGCCAGCTACAGCAAGATAAGTACCACTTTGGTCAAAGCAAATGTCCTTTACTTCATAAAATTCATCTAACTGGAGAGTCTTGAAATTTTTCAGCTTCCGCAGATCCCACAGTTTAACGCAGGAATCCTCCGCAGCTGTGGCAAGGTAATAACCATTCTCTGAGAAGCTAATCGCCGTTATTGGTCCCATATGGCCTGTGAAGTTTGCCACATTGGACTGTTCTTTTAAGTCCCAAATCTTGACCTGTGAATCTGCTGTGCCAGTACCAAAAATTAAACCGTCAGGATGAAACTGAGCTGTTGTCAGAGGTATATTTGCTTCTCCAGCAACCTATAAGTGGAAATGAACAAGTAGCAAGTATTCTATCGTGCATATTATTGTATAAATATGATAACATTAACTTACCCTAGTTAATAATCTACCAGCACGAATGTCAGAGAATGCCCAGTACTGATCTAATGAAGAGCTCAACAAATAATCTCCAGTTGGATGTAATGACAAACCGGTTACAGCGGCATCGTGGGCTCTCAGTAAAAGCGTTGTTTGACTTGTCCCAACATTCCAAACACGTATAGTAGTATCTGGTGATGCTGTCATAACAATGTCTTCATCGGGATGATAAATTACACGTGTCACCTATGACAGATTTCAGACAAATGTTTCACTAAAGAACAAAAAAATCAATTACTTTTAAGACATATATTGCATAAAAAGATAAATACCTTTCTTGTATGGCCTTTAAGAATAGCAACTACTTGCTCTGTATCCTTGTTAAATACTGTTGCATTTTTGTCAGCACCACCAGTCAAGATCTTACTGGTATCTGAACTATGAATGTCGAGTGCTAGTATACCAGGAACACTTGCTGAATGAAGGCCCTATTTAAAAATAAATAAAAGTAATGCCATACATTGTTGTAGTACAGAAATCTGTGCGTTAATAATAGATGTATCTTACAGGATGAGAAGCAAGTGTTTGGAATGCGCGAATGCTATCCTGCGGCATAAGATCTTCAGGAACAAGACGGCCACGTCTTTTTCTTTCTTGAGTGAGGACTGTGGCTGTTTCTTGTAATTTCTCTATCACATCTTCAGTGATACCAGCTTGCTCCGTTGGTTGAGCAGCAGCACCGCCAGCTTCCACAGCAACAGCCTGAAAAGCAACATTGAATTTTACTAGTAATCAGCAAGATACTTAACTCTTGATACCTTTTAATAATTTGTAATATATTTATTGAACCTACCGGTTGTGGAATGACAACAGCTTGTACGATACCAGCTTGCGGTTTCAGCGTTGCCAAAGCTTCCCTAGCTGCAGTGACCTCTTTAGTCAATCTGGCAATAACTCTACAAGCAGCGTCATGTTGATATAAAGCATGGGACAATTCTTGCCGTGCAGTTTGCAGTTGTTGTCTTAATGTAAATGAGTGCAACATGACCGCATCCCATTCATCTTGCAGAATCTTTAATATCGCTGGAATAGATGTGGCACTTGGTGGTTTGGGTTTAACCAGTGGCGTTGCTGTAATTTCCAAGAAAATATTTCATTCATTTCAAAAAATTCTGTGCTGCAATAACTTTTTACTTATACTAAGAAACAACATACACTGACAAATAAATGCGATGCCACAATTACTGTACTTACTCTTAACGTCAATCAACTGTTCGACCGTGAGCTCTTTGCCATTGATTGGATCTACTCCATTTTCTGCCAGAAACTTTTCAATGAGGCGCTTTTCAAAAATGGATCCAGAAACTGGAGATATCACTGGGTGCTCCGGCACTTCGTTCGAAACTGAAAAAACAAAACTCGATTTCATTTGATCCATAATATATGAGATAATGGCACCATAAAGGTGGTCGGAGTCATGCATCGCTTCCACCGATTTCAACTAGCCGTCAGAAAGTACGCTCGATCAAAGTACAAACTTAACCTCTCTATAACTAAAAATGCATTGTGATACTGTGTTACGTTTTTCGATTGTCAGAAATTCATATTAAACTTAATAATAACATAAAATTCTTACTCGCACACGATAGCGCCATTTTCACAAACACACCACGATACACGGGCGATGAATTAAGACGTAACAAGAAGTTAATTTCTTAAAGAAAAATGAGGATCACATTCGTTGTAGTACTGATTTCACTCCAAGGACGGCGCTACTGTCTGTTAACTCTCGTGCCACGATGGAATGTTGGTATGAATGTACATATATATGTACGAATTTAACGAATTTAATATATTATGTTAAATATACGGGAAAGGGAATGCGAGTGAGAGGAGAATATGACCCCTAAAACCCGGTTCCACAATTCGAGTTAACCGGAGTTTGATTGGTTTACGGTAGGTTTGGGAGTGTGGTATAGTTAACGAAAGGTTAACCAGTTAAACTTTGGTTAACTCGAGGATGGAATCGGGCCTTAATAGTACTCAACATATATACACGTGTGTGTAGCTTTAGTAAGGTGTCAAATCTAGGAATAAACATTGTAGATTAAATAATACTATAGAGCTTAGCAAGTACTCCATGGCAGCGATTGACAAAGTCAAAATTATTGTTGTCGGTGATTCAGGTTAGAATTACTCTGTGACAAGTATTAAGTAGGCTTAATCTGACTTTCGTTTGTCAATGCTTGTAACAATATTTTTGCAATTATGTACATGGTATGTATGTGTTACCTGTAATTACATAGGTGTTGGCAAGACGTCACTAACGCACATGATATGCCATCAGCAAACAATTAGCAATCCCTCATGGACGATAGGATGTTCAGTGGAAGTCAAACTACACGAGTACAAGGAAGGAACACCAAATCAAAGAAGATACTTCATTGAATTATGGGATGTAGGAGGAAGCCAAAGTCACAAAAATACAAGATCAGTTTTCTATAGTCCTACTAATGGTACAAATTTGATTTTACTTTAAGTAACCGAGCAGATTTGATTGAATACATTAAATTATAATAATTTACCCCTTATTTTTGGATTTGTTCTTCAGGTATAATTCTGGTGCATGACTTGACAAACAGGAAATCTCAACAAAATTTGCAAAAATGGCTTCAGGAAGTTTTAAACAAAGATAGTAGCCACTCAAAAGTCAAGCTATTTGACGACTTTGATCCTGAAAAGTTTGTCGGTTCGACTCAAGTAATATATAACTCCTGAAGTTAGGAATGAACGCATTAGATACTTTAATTATAATTCTATTAATGTTAGGATTTTATTTCGTATTCCATGAATTTATAGCAAAAGTGCAATTGCATTACACAGGTGCTCACCATTTGCATATTTCCAGATTCCAATTCTAGCAGTCGGTACAAAATTAGACCTGGTCTCGGAAGTGAGATCAAACCTCCATAGACGTTCATCCAGTATCGCCGAAGAGTGTGGTGCCGAAGAAATGTTTGTGGTAAAGAAATCGTTTTACAATAAATCTGTAATAACTTAAAGAAATGTAATAAGATATCTTTTTCTGAACATAGGACTGTCGACAGACTAAATCTCTGGCTGCTGGATCTAGTTCATCCGTAAAGCTGAGTCGCTTCTTTGATAAAGTCATTGAGAGGAGATACTATGCTACAAGAGAAGGGATCAGTCCCGATAAGCGAAGATTGCCTGTGTACACTTCTTCATTTAGTCCTAAGTTGTATCATGATTGAAAGGAATGTAAGTAAAAACTTCAAACGATACTGCATTGATGGTTTTAAGCAATGCACAGTATACCTGATACACAATGTTTTCTTCTGCATGGTGAGACTTTTTTGACAGTTTGTAAAAGAATCACTATGCATCAAACATTCCTACATGCCTGAAAAAGTTAATATTTTTAATTCCAAAGAACTCTTGTAATTGCTTATGTGAAAAACTAAAAGTGTGTAACATGGAACTGCAATACAGATTTTTTGTTCATTAATTGTTACACACCATTATTATAGGATTAAAATTTTGTACAAAATAAAAATTTGTACGATATAAATAAAATTAAACCTCAATGATTGAAATTATGTGGAGACGTAACAAAATCGTCATGCATTAAATTACATTCCCTTTCTTTCCTTTCGGTTTCTTTTTTTTTTTTTTTTTCACACGGGCGAAAGTTTTATGAAAATATTCAAACTTTATGAGATGTACTAGAATTTTCCGGATCATACTATAATTTGGCCCGACTGTACTATAATTCACGGGCTTGGAGTTGGCAACACTGTTCGTGACCAAGTTCGTTCCCTCCTGTTCCTTCCTATTTACCTCGTTCGACGACGGTAGGTTTCGCTTAATTTCATCTAGTTTTTCCGAAGACATCCTATACTTTGTTAATGTATTATTCTTTATTTTATCATTTGAAAATACCAGTAAGGAGCGGTTCATTGTTATAAACGTAATTAAAAAAGTATTTCCTTTATTGCAGGACAAAATGGGACGCCGTCCAGCGAGGTGGTAAGTGTACATTATTTTTGCCATTTTACTTGATTAATTGTGAACATATGTTTCTGCATACTTTATTGCGTCTATAATATTGTTCTTATTGTTAGTTGACAAATGCTGTGTTGTATCGATTGTTTACTAGTACTCCTTTCTTTCTTTCTCGATATTGCTCTTGAGTACGTAACCTCACTTTTCCCCGTCATAAGGACAATCGTGAGAACAAATTATTAGTATGCCACAGATTGTATTGTGAAAGTAATTTTATAGTTGTAAGGTTTTTCATGCATGTGTACATACCTTCTACTGTTCTTGGACATCTTTTTCTGTTAATATTAATTAAATTTATTCATTAATATCTAAATATTCTTTCTGTTGGATTTTCAGTTATCGCTATTGTAAGAACAAGCCGTATCCAAAGTCACGGTTTTGTCGTGGTGTGCCGGATCCTAAGATCCGCATTTTCGACTTAGGGAAGAAGAAGGCATCCGTTGAAGATTTTCCACTATGCGTGCATTTAGTTTCAGACGAGTATGAACAATTGAGCTCTGAAGCTCTTGAAGCTGGACGTATCTGTGCTAATAAGTACATGGTCAAGAATGCTGGGAAAGATCAGTTCCATATTCGAATGCGATTGCATCCATTCCATGTCATTCGCATTAATAAAATGTTATCGTGCGCTGGAGCTGATAGGTAAATTCATTGAAGTAATCATTATTAAAAGTTTAGTAGTGTATATAACTTATATCTAATTATGATACCTTTCAATGAATTTAATCTAAATTTTTATAAAACTTTATTAAGGCTCCAAACTGGAATGCGCGGTGCCTTTGGCAAGCCTCAAGGTACGGTAGCACGTGTACACATTGGTCAGCCTATTATGAGCGTTCGTTCATCTGACCGCCATAAGGCGGCTGTGATCGAGGCATTGCGTCGTGCTAAGTTTAAGTTCCCTGGCCGTCAGAAGATCTATGTTTCCAAGAAGTGGGGCTTCACAAAGTACGACCGTGCAGAGTATGAAAAACTTAAGGTGGAAGGACGTCTTGCACCCGATGGTTGCAATGTCAAATATCTTCCAGAGCATGGACCTTTGGACCAATGGAAAAAATTCAGAGAAGTTTTTCATGCAGCTGCATAAATGACAGTGATTTCATATATACAATACTGGTTTCAATAAATTTGTATTGAATAAAAATGGTACGCAATATATTTTGTGATTTCCAATACATTTGAAGCCAGTGTGCTTATATTTATATTTTAATTACAATTAAAGTTTTATTCAATTACATTTCTGATAAACTAAGGTTGGTATTCGAGTCTTATGTAAATTTTGTAAATTTTTACACTTGGTTTACAAGTAAAAAAATGTAGGGAATAGAATAAGAGTAATCTATTATATTTATATACACACACAAAAGAATTTAGTTTAGAAAATATGAACAGTGTGATCAAAACAAAATGTGTAGTTATCAACTTATCCAGAACCAGTTAAAAGTTAAAATTACTAAAACTTATCTATGTCGCAATTCCGTGACTGCATATAATGTTATGTGTTGTGTTGTTATATAACACTTGAGGATGTTTCAAGTGCTCATTTTTCTAATCTTTTACGAGGACGTCAAAGAAAATGAAGGACAGAGACGTTTAAAAAAAGCATCCCTATTTGGATACAATAATTTAGTGACATGGTAACAACCAATTTTATATCTTAGTCTCATCAACAAGAATATCTATTAATTGATTTTACATGATAACTTCTAAGCAATGTATCATTTCAAGATCTTAACCTCATATTGTAACTGTTTGCTATACTCACTACCTACTTAAGGTTCAGGGATAAACGATTGGTATTTTCTACCATTAAGAACCAGTCACATTCTAAGATGATGTTGATAAATAATCAAATAGCGATTACAAACTTAGTCTGTATTAAATAATACATTATTCTTATCGGAGTGACAGGTAACCTCAGCTGTATGTTCGTTTACAGCCTGTGCTTCCTCTTCGATATCAATGTCATCGATTGGATGGATGCGAGCTTCCAGAGCTTCGGTACTTGTAGCTGCATCCAACAGTGGGGATAATTTTTCAGCTTCGCTGTCTTCGTCTTGACCCTGATCGATATAATTGTCAATTAGTAAATGGTAAGGTAAATTGACATGCGACACTAAAATTTAATTACCTCATCAATGGGAGCAGCTTGTTTCTCATTAACCAGTCTCAGAGTATCTCTTGTTCGAAGACTAGTTTTATCTCGAGGTCGTCCAGAACCTTTAATCCTGGTCGCAGGGGATCTGCTACGCACGTCTTTTTGCGAGTCCGAGTTGTCATCCCTTACTAGTAGAATAGACATCGGGAACTCCGGTGTGAGGCAGGGGGAACTGCTGGTGCCTGACGATATCTCGGTATCTTTTGGAGAGATGTGCTTCGAAATTGGTGTTAACTCTGCCAATCTGTAAGTGGGTAGACCGATCTACCCTGTAGTCTACCATCTGTTGTAGTGATTATAAAAGCTCTTACCAGTGGAACATGCTATATATTCTAACCTATATCATCAAATCCAAATGGATGTTAATTCATAACTCGAAAGATCATAATGATTTAAACATATCATGGAAGGTCATTCAATAAATTATGGAGATGATCAATTAAAATATTGTGTGCACATACGTGCGTAAACCCACCTATTTAACATTTCGGCAGCTTGAATAGCATTTGTGACATCTGTATCAGGAGTATCGAGAGATTCTGATGGGTGAACGGCAGCCCTGGGCGTGTAAGGTCCATTTAAAGCTTCTATCAATGATACGGCTTCGTATCCTGGTGGTATATTGTCACAACTTCCCTAGACATGGTCGAAAGTAATATGCAGTGTAGGGCATTTCTATTGTTAAATAATAGTAAAAAAAATTATTTTTCATTACACTCACTTCTGGTAATAATGGATTGGAAATGACAGCTTCGGAAACCTTTTGGAGGGCTTTGATCTGCAGTAAAGCTCTGAATGGAGCTCGACATATTGGACAGTTATTAGCTTGGTAACGGAGGGAATCTGCACATCCATTGCACAAGCATAAATGTCTGCACGGTAAAATTAAAGTATCTCGTACATCGCACATGCATATCACACACTCAGAACCGCTATCCTCCGTATCTTCGTCACTTCCCTGTTGCTATAAAGTAATACAAGTCTAATGCAGCATAAAGGATGGAATAAACAAGGAATATATTAGCTATTCAGAAAAGAACAAAAACAATATGAATAGTTTGAAAATGTTATTTGTTACCTTAGCACTTTCAGTGTTTTTGTTTTCGATTCCATATATTTCTTGTAACAAGTAACAAAGTCCATCAACAAAGAGTTTTTGTTTGAGAGCTTTTAATATGTAAGAACCATCAGAGTGCTTCTCAACAACAGCAATAGTTGTATGAGATTGTTTTGGCTCGTCCGAACCTTCCTCTGCCACACAATGAATAGCTATGGGAATTATCTGTGGAGTGATAATTTTTTTTTAAGTTTCTCAAAGGGTTACTCCTGAGTAACACGGAAAAATTCAGTCTTCTAATTGCAACAATTAAGAATTGAAGATCTGAGGGTGGAAATGTCTTACCTCTTTATCGGAATTATATAATAAGTCTTCTTCGCTGTACAAAATTGGCTCAAATACATGTGAGGTTTGAGAGAACAGTTGATTAGCACCTTTTTTGTAGCGATAAGTCTCAGAATTCATAGAAGGGTCTCGAGGGATGTAACTAAACAAAGAAGAGAACATGCGATGGTAGATTCACCAGCTTAATTTTTTCTACAATGCTAAAAGTAAAAGGGTTAACTTACGTGACCCCTTTCGTCGTAACTTCTTCTGTGCAAAAGTAGTATAAAGTTATAGCACATCGTACATCACAATCAAAAGTAAATTCAATATTAAATCGTGTAGTTTTTTTATCGGCATCACCATCACCATAATGCTTTGCACTTTGGTGTTGCGAGGAAGATGTTTGTTCCATATGTCGGACTAATCTAAGAGATTCCTTCCTTATGTTCACCAAACTTTTAAGTGTTTTGGTGGGATCGTTAGGTTGAGGTGGTGGATATGGAAACTAGAAAATACTGTATAATAATTACCAGCAGATATAATGAGTATTGAAAAATTCAAAGAAAGGTAGATTATACCGGGGTTGGTCTACTGCCTAAAAAGTTCAAATCTGCATTTTCTCCAAAAAGGTATGCTTCCGGTTGTGGAGTGTCAAATCTTTCTCCTCCCATTATAAAGTGACTGCCAAAATAGCTCCCTAATGCAGCAAACAAAGTCTTTAAATAAATAATATCAAATCATACAATTTTTAGTTAAAAAGACACAAACCTGATCGTGGGGGATATTTGTAGGCATGATTAGAAACAATATCAACCTCTTCCACTCCAGCATTTTGCCTGCTGGTCAGCGAGCCCATTGCGTAAAGAATCACTTGAAATTTATAACCTCGGATCGGTCAATTGTTTACGATATGTCAAACGTCTCGGTATGCATTTACCAGCAGGTAAACTCATGTAGACGACTGCAGTCACGCGCGTATGCAAAACAGTTTCTTTCTCAATATTTCGTATGATTCGATTACAGATAATAGGTGATAGGTTCTTTATCTATTCTTTGCATCTATGGCATGCATACATACAATGCACACACAGCAGCTACTTTATCAATGCAGATATATTTGTGCGACCACTTCTCCAAGGTTAGGGGACGGTAGTTATTAGTTTATTTAGTACAGCTGCAGGATTGCTCATATGTACATACATATGTGCACATATGAGCTATCCGGATGAATGACCTTTTGAACGAGAACTAGTGATTCAGGTTTTTTGAACTCACCTTACTTTTGGACATGAATTTCGTAACCAATAGACGATTTCAAAATCAACGGAAAGTGTTCTTAGATATAAGAACGAATTGGAAGGAAAGGCTACCTCGAAATAATTCCGTTGGATTGAATCAGATAGTGACATCTAGTGAAGCCTCGATTTTTGTAACCATCGAGTCTGTCAAGACAAGTATCTGCAAGTATCTGTTGTCTATGGTCAAGACCAGTCGAGACCAGTCGAGACTGGTCGAGACGAGCGACAACGCCACGTCTCAAACGCCGATTGTAATTTTCTCGCTAAATAACTTATAATTTGATTAGGGGTCAGTTTTTAAGGTTGCGGCAAATCTACTTTCATTCAACAAGTAACAGAGTACATCCACGAAATGGGAAAGAAAAGTAAGTTAAGGGATGTCGAGATTTTTCCGACAGACGTGTATGTATTTTTTATTTTACGGGTCGCCATTACGAAAAGGAGCATTACTTTGATACTACAATTACACTATTTCTGGATTATTTTCCAAGGCCGCGTGCTACTTGGTGTTATTTAGAATTTAATTTTGCAGAAGGCAAGAAGGGAACCCAACAAGGTGTATCACAAGATGCTGGTCCATCCCAACCACAGCAACAACCACAGCAACCACAGCAACCACAGCAACCACAGCAGCAACCACGGCAGCAGCCACAGCCACAGCCACAGCCACAGCCACAGCAAGGGCAACAACCACAGCAGCAACAACGGCAGCAACCACGGCAGCAACCACAGCAGCAACCACGGCAGCAGTCACAGCAGCAGCCACAGCAGCAGCCACAGCCACAGCCACAGCCACAGCCACAGCAAGGGCAACAGCAACAGAAATCGCAAGCAGAAGAACAAAGAAGACCAGCATTTTCTGGTAAAGCATAGCTCTACAAATAGGTCATGGCAAATTAAGTTGATTTATTTTATAATGTTCGACAGATGATATTGAAAATGATATATGTAGGTTGTAGTCACATTTAATCACGCATAGCAAATAATAATATTTAATAAAACTAACCTTCTGAATAAATTTTGGATTAGTCGTGTCATTAAAGCAGTACTGTTATAGCTTGTTTAATCAAACATCATATTTGCTCTTTGAAATAAAAAAATATTGCTGATAACCCATATAAACATTACAAATACCAAGGTGTCTGAACAAATTGTTATCTAATGATATCAGCAAATTTCAAAGTTTAAAATTGGTGGCAATTCCTGTAAGAAATTTATGAATTTACCTTTGTTCTATAAATGGGTTTATCACTTTTCTGCTTCTGCAAATGGAGGAGGTGATGGAAGAGGACGAGGAAGAGAAGGGAGGGGAGAAGGAAGAGGAAAAGAACAAGAAAGCAAAGTACAATGGCCATCACGACCAGGGCCACCCCAACAGCAGCCGAGGCCACAAGCCGGGCAGCAACGGCAAGGGGGACAACCTCAACGCCAAGGATGGCAACCCCAACAACAGCCGATGCAACAGACCCGGCAGCAACCAGATAGGCCTCCAAGTACACATGTATGTCAGTGAAAGCTGACCAATATTCAAAGTATTGAGTCAAACTGTTTTTTGCACTGACAACATTTTTGAAATCACCCCTGTGGGAAATGTCTTTTCTTTTGCAGTCAAGTGCTTCGACATCGTCCTCAGTTAAGTCGATAACAGAAGGAGTTTCCCAGATGTCGAAAACATCTTCACCAGCAAAAATCGGTCCAGAAAAATCTTCTATCTCAGCAGCTTTGACAGCTCAACTGTGTGCCCAGATCCCCACCAGGAGGAATCCTAAGCAAGCAGGAACTAAGGGACGAAAAATCACAGTGGAAACTAATATGATATCTTTAAATTTTGGCAAAAATTTTTGCTTGAGTGCTGTTCATTATGATATAACGTTTGATCCAGACAAACCGAAATTTATGATCCGAAACGTCTTTGAAGCAGTCAGGCAAAAGATGTTCAGAGATCGCTGTCCAGCATTTGACGGGAGGAAGAATGTCTTCAGTGCTCGAAACCTACCTTTTGGGGAAGGCGTGAGTTTATTAGGTTCTTCGCTAAATGCAATAATATTTAAGGGTTTAGCAAAGTTACATTAATCATTCCGAGTCGTGATATAATGCAAGGAAATCGTACGGACCTGTTTTAAATGCAGCAAGCCTGGTAGTTACGTGCACCAATAGAGTTGCTTTCGAGTTGAATTTGTTAGACAATTTTCCTGTGTATTATACAAAACATTACGGAAAATATCTGTGATCGTGGCTTATGTTGACTCCTGCGGCTAGGGCATAGGACATGGGTAATGAATTGGGCTATTTCTGTATTTCAGATGACAACAGAGGTATCGGTATTTAACAACGAAAGGCAGCAGGAGGTAACGTACAAGGTTACTATGAAGAAGGTTGCGGATATTGATCTTTCTTGGCTGAAAGATGTTAAGCCAGGAATGAAGTTCAAGGATGTTGATCAGTTAGGCCTGCAGGTTATTGACGTTGTTCTGCGTAACGGACCTGCACTTAAAACAACGACGGTAATGAAATTAATTAAATCTTCGCGTTGATGAAATTAATTTACCTAAGAATTGCATCGAATCACATATTTTCGTCTAGGTTGGAAGGTCTTTCTTTCAACCTCCCACAGGGAGTATAATATCTCTGAGAGGAGGAATGGAACTGTGGGTGGGAATGTTCCAGTCAGCCGTGCTTGGTTGGAAGCCTTACTTAAATGTCGATGGTAAATCACACATTCGCAAGTAGTAAATAATATATAGAAATACAACAGACACAGTCTTGTGTTTTCAGTGGCACATAAAGCATTCCCCATCGGTCAACCCGTTCTGGAATTAATGAAGGAGCTTTGCCAGTCGAACGATTTAAGAGCAGAGGACGTGGATCGAAACAAAAGTAAAATCGACAGCTTCTTGAAAGGCTTGAAAGTTACTTACGAGATCCCGAACCAACCGAACACAAGGCGTACCCAGCGCGTCAACGGTTTGGTACGACCGGCGAATAGGAACGAGTTCGACTCGGGTGGTCGAAGATGTACCGTCGAAGCTTATTATGCCGGAGAGAAACACTACAGATTGAAGCGTCCCGACTTACCCTGCATTTGGGTTGGCCCTCGAGAAAAGAATATACATTATCCGGCAGAGGTAAGATACTTTATGCTACGGATGGTAATCGCAACATTTACAATTGCAACGAATAGATATATGCGTTGGTCTCAATTAATGTAAAACTTGTATGTTTCTATCTCTAGTTGTTAATCATTGCTCGGGGCCAAGTGACCAATAGGAAACTCGACGAAATGCAAACGTCTAATATGATACGATACGCTGCTACGGACACTAATACTCGCAAGAGAAAAATTATGGAAGCGGTAAGTAATGGGAAGAATTTTCTCAACGGAATTCCTTCCGATTTCAAATATTTCCCGATCGAACTCTGTTCCGATCCGCAATTCTGAAATACATAAAATAATTCTTAACAGTTCTCTAAAATCGGTTACAACGAGAATCCTTGTGTGAAAGAATTTGGACTGAACGTGGGAACGGGCTTCTCAACGGTGGACGCGCGTGTTTTGGATCCTCCGGTATTATCTTACGGTACCGATTCCGGTGGATCTCGACCCGTTCGTGTCAACAAAGGAGTATGGCGAGCGGCTCGTTTCCTAAACCCGATGCATCTTCAAGCGGGCACCTGGACCATTTTGAACTTGGATGAACGCGGATGTAGAGATCAACAATTATATAGACTTCAAGACGAGTTGATAAGAGCAGGTGCGTGTTTCTCATACATCTAGGAATTAAGAATTTCCGTGCTTTGGGTGTGTAGACTCGATGGCAGTTGAGAGCAATGCTTTTAGTCATTTGCGATCAATGTCTCTAGTATATTTATTTTGCAATATCTGTACTTTCGTCCAAATATAAGGTTAGTATGGTTTCAGGACAAGAAGTTGGCATGGTAATTGGGCCGCCTTTAACGCCATTCGCATCCATGGAACCCCCTACGCGAGATATTCGCCGCATTCAAGAATATTTCGAAAGGATGAAAGGATTACAATTGGTAATAGTAATCGTGCCACTGGGTAATACATATCGTAAGTTTCGAAGCAATAACCTCTAAGATTACAATTTAATGTTAGAAAATCCTAAGGATATATTTAATGCTGGGCTCGTTAACCGGTTAACTGTGGAATTTACTAAAACGTTACGGGTTACCGACGTGTATACACGTCGAACGCAGTTAACTGGTTAAATAGTATAATCTTTGCACAGAATTAGAAGTAATGCCAGATTCGGAGGACACATTTTTAATTACTTGAAATACTTTTCGTCAAACATCCTGCATGCAACGACGATGGCCTGGAAATAGTGGAATTCCATGATGAAGGATAAACTCGCGACGGTCTTTTTCGTTTCAGATCAGTTTTTGTACAAAAGTAATATTGGTTACTTGAATATTGATTCTTTTCTTTTCTTTTTTTTTTCCTTTCCCTATACATATTCGTTAAGTATGTATTCCTTTTCTTGTCCTAGAAAAAGTGAAGCAGGTAGCCGAACTGTCAACTGGTGTACTAACTCAGTGTCTGAAATCAAGAACGTTACAACGTTTAACTGGAGCAACTGTAGGAAATATTTTGCTCAAAATAAATTCAAAGTTGAATGGCATTAATCACATTTTTGACGAAAAAGTACGGTGAGTACCAATTACTCATTTTTTTTTTTAGTTTTACTTTTGATCATTTTAACGACTTCATGCATCGCGAAATAAAAAAGTAACATGTTTCGTTAAATCGTGTGATTGTTTCGTATTTGACGTAATATTTTTATCTATCGGTCAATGTTTTTGCAGGCCATCCTGTCTATTGCAACCTTGCATCATCATTGGGGCTGATGTCACCCATCCGTCGCCAGATGCAACGGATATTCCATCAATAGCAGCGGTAATTATCTCAATATTATATAATACGCTTACGGCCGTGTAAAAATGTACGAATTTATTTTTATAGGTCGCCGCGAGTCACGATCCAAAAGGCTTCCAGTATAATGTAAAGATACGACTTCAGCCGCCTCGAACTGAAATAATTTTAGACTTGCAGAATATAATGCGGGAGCAGTTGTTATTTTTCTACAAGAAGACTGGATACAAGCCTATGAGAATCATATTCTACAGGTAAGTGGTATTCAGAAAAAGAATGACTTTTTTACAATACCTCAAAAAAATTTAAACCGACCTTTTAAGGCATATTTTGCTTTCCATTCAGTTAGTCAATTATACCGAGACATTATTTTAAACTGTCATCAGCCACGTTATGTTGAAAATGTAATAGTGTATTTCTGGTTCCAGGGATGGAGTTAGCGAGGGACAGTTCCCCCAAGTGATGCATCATGAACTGGAGGCTATCAAACGCGCATGCACGAGTCTCAATAAGGATGGCAGTTACAAGCCTCCAATCACGTTCCTGGTTGTGCAAAAGAGGCATCACATCCGTTTGTTTCCTACCGATATGAGGAATTCCGATGACAGGAATGGCAATGTGCAAGCCGGGACTGTTGTCGATACCGAAATTACGCACCCATCGCATATTGACTTTTATCTAGTTTCTCACGCTAGTATTCAAGTGAGTTTGCATCCAATTGTACAAATGCAGCTTCATTATCGAAATGCATCGAAGTTACCGAATTTAACTGTCCACGTATGATTCATACGAATAGTACGGATGACGGATGAAAAGCATGCGGGTCTTGATAGATTCTGCAGTATTTTATTTGTCAATTTTTCTTCGCAATTATAGGGTACAGCAAGGCCCACGAAGTACAGATGTTTGTGGGACGATGCAAACATGACCGAGGATGAAATTGAACAGCTTACATATTATTTGTGTCATATGTTTTCACGCTGCACACGTTCCGTGAGCTACCCTACTCCTACTTATTATGCCCATCTTGCTGCATTCCGAGCTAGAGCATTGACACACGAGTAAGTTCGTTTACGTATTACAATAATCGTTTATGATGCGATGATTCCATGGAAAGTACTCACTTTGAACGCCTTTCCTTTGCAGGGTTAATCTAGATATGCGCAACTTAAGCCGAGAGCAGGAGACAAAATTGACTTTGAAGCCTGCATTTAATGAGAAGCCAATGTTCTTTGTGTAATTCAGTTTCATGCTGATTCACGTAAATCAGTTTTAGAAATATAATGTTTACGTGGAGAGGAAAGGCAAGCTCCTCTTTCGGTGAATTACAAAGGACATTTATATTAGACTCACGTTTGAAGAAGTAATTCATACTTCTCCCGCTTCTATTCAATTTGTATTGTATTTAACAGTGCCGTACAGACTCATTAATGTAGTTCATGCGCAAAAACATTGGTGACGGTACACCAAACTATTTTTTTCATGCGGCCTGCCAACACTTGTAGAAAAATCTCACGTACGAGAGAGTCAATTGATATCTTTATTCCACGTTATCAGAGTTTTTAACTAACTGCGTTATTTTGCTTAATTCTTTTCGCTAATTACTTTGTTAAGAACGGTAAGGCTTAAGACTTTATCACGAACACGAATTACAATACATCTAGCTGCTGGACAAAGAGCGAACCGTCTATGCCAATCATTCCTTCCGTTGCCTTTAGCTTTTGACTATCGAATTTCTGGAATCTTCAAAGAAATTTATTTTACGCAAAAGCAAGGGAAAATATTCTTTTGTATTTTCATGGTACGCTATTGTACGTTATTAAGAATACTTAACTGTATATTATGTAAATCAGATGTAATTCGAATAAGTTTATGGAAACAAAAACAAAATCTTTTTGTCAAAAAGCTAATTATGCACATTTATACAAAATGGAGTTAACATTAACCATATAACCGGTCGGTCAAATGATCATTTTTAAATGTATCGGTAGTGGGGTTATAAATTGTCAATACGGTTAATGTTAAAGGCATCGATGGATCTAACGACTCGAAAGTCCAGATATTTTTAATTTTGTCCAAAGATACAAAAAAAAAACGGACTTCTTCAAGGATTCAAGTATGGATGGATAAATTTGAAAACTACGTTTCAACGGGTTCCCTTTACACTTGGAATAATTCGCCATCGCGGATTCCGATATTCGTCTCCGGATGGACGCACTATGGCGAAATTCCCGTACCGCTTATCCGTGTCTCTAGTTGGAGACCGATTTACTCCCTACCTCGTTATCGTTAGTGCTTTCGCATCCAGTCCGAGTTTAAAGTTTCGCGCCGCGACCTTATCCAAGATGGCCGCCCGGCGCGACCCGGCTTCCCCGAACCGCCGATCGAATGCAGCGACACCCACCGGGGAGCAGTCGCGTGCAACGCTCCGAAACGATCCGTGGTCGCGCGACGCATCGTCCATATCTCGCGCGAGTGCCTGCATGTAGCAGCCGTTCGCAAGAGACCTTTCGATTCCTCTCGACGAGGAGTCGGTTGCGCTCGTTCCGTCGCGGACGACGGAGCCGCGGGTCCGGAGGGAGGAGGCTGGCTCCTCGGTGGGTATCCGCGAATTGCCGCGAACCGAACCTCTCTCGAGCGCCCACCGACGTCTCGGAAAAAAAAAAAACGCGCCTCTATCCTCGAAGGGTAGAATCGGTCTCCGCGAGCCGGGATATTTGCGGCGAGCTCGCGGATCGATGCCCTTCGTAAGACTCCCGAGGTCGGGACCTTCCTCGAGAACGGAGGAAGACGGAACGTAGGACATCGACGTCCCTGCGCGGGCAGCGATAAGGACGCGCTTTCTTTCTCGTCGTTGGACAGGCTGTCGCCATGTTGCGCCCCGTAGACGTTTCGCATTCGTAAAAAAACGAGACACGCGTCCTACCTACGTCCACGACGGGGTATCGGACCCGAAGTCGGCCGATGTTTTCTCGCACGGGACGAAACTAGGTTGCGCAAGAAGGACTCGATTCTCGTCTCGATTCTCGTCTCGATTCTCGTCTCGACTTTCTCGTCCATCGGCCCGAGCGCCGAGACGGACGGGTCGCGAGGAAACGCGCAATTTCTCACGGTTTTTAGCGCGCGTTTCCGCTCGGATAGACCCAAACGTGTCGCGTGTCGATTCTTCGCCTTTCTTTTACGTTAAAAATAGGAAAATGTCTCGGTAGCCGGCACTCTCGGGAAACCTCGGGATTTTCCTGGGTGCAAGGAAAACGATCGAGATTCGTCCGAAAGCCTGTCGAAAATTCCCAAAAACGGACAAAATTGTCCTTTGTCTCTGGAACTCCTCCAGGATGGGAAATTTAGCTTGGTTCGTTGTTCCGAGAAAACAAGAACTCGGTCGTACGACTCGTCGCGCCCTGGGTTCGCGAGGCGAAAGGCGAAAGCGGGGGCGGAGGTGGCGGTCGCCCCATTCACGGGGCCGGCGAGTCAATGGGATCCGGGGGGAACCCCGTGCGTTTCGCGCCGAGGGGTCCCGAAGTCGAAGGTCACGCGCGCGTACCCTTCCCCGAGTTTCGCGTCGCGGAGGGGAGAAGCGGCCCCGCGAGTCTCCGGAGTCTCCGGAGTCTCCAGGGGAGATCGAGAGGCCCCGAGGCGAGAACCAATTTTCCCCCGGTCGCCCCCCCCCTCCCGTCCCCCCGCGGTCACGTGACCGCGGTCTCTATCGATCCCTCGGGGGGCATGCGCCCTCGCTTGGCCCCGACGCCGCCGGAAGCCAGGACGCAGTTCCTTCGTGGATCCGTCCAGGGGGCAGATTCGCGGAGGAGTCGGTCCGGAACTACCCGGGGAGACTCCGGACACGGCGATGACGACCCCGTCGGCCGACAGGTGCGCGACCCTTCTTCCTTTCTCTCGCGGTCGACGGCGCCCGGGGGCGGTTTTCGGATCTCGCGAGCTCCCGGAGGAGAGCCGTCGGACCTTCTCCGAGCGGCGCGGACGTTCTCGAACGTTCTCGAACGAGTCGGTAGCCATGACGGCGGTCGCGACCCTTGGGGGCTCGCCCGAGAGCTCGTAGTGGCAGAGGAGAGGAAACGAGGTCGGAGACTGATCGCGTCGCTTCCGGTGTTGCAGAGCAAAGGTGGAGTAAAGAAAGACATCCAGGAGGGAGGGCCATGCCAGGGCTAGGCGCGCACTGGTGACCTAGCACTCCCGACCGGGCGGCCCTCGATGCTTACGCTACGGCTGGTGTCGACGCACTTTCTGAAGCAGCCATAGGCAGTGCCGAGTGCCCGAAGAAAGGGCCTATAATGTGCCGCGACAGGGACATGGACCCGGAATCGGTCGACTCTCGACACCCCCCTCGCTCGGCCGTTTGACTTCACCCGCGGCGGGGCCCCCGACTTCGACCCCCTTGGTGCGCCCAGTTTCCCCGAGTTCCGAGTTCCGACAGCAGGGCGAGACCACCCCGAGGAGGCTGTCCGGGACGGCCCGAGGGCTGTACTCGGGACGCGTCAACCTGTGGAGAGTCGCGAGAGAGTGTATCGTGAGTATGCTATCGTCTCTCCGAGCCGGTGCGGACGACCGAGTATCGATCAGGCCACGACGCGGCCCAGGGACCCGGAATCGGACCCGGAAGCCGCAGCCGGCGAGGGGCCGATCGGCACTCGAAATCGCCGACATCCCCTGACCTCCCGGACGGGGCGCGATTCCTCTTCGAGACGGATCCCGATTCCCTGGCGGGAACGAGGAACGACTCGGTTCTCACTTTTCTCTTTATCGACCCGCGATCCCCTCGTTTCGAGCCGATCGGTCTCGCCTAGAGCGGAGATCCGAGAACGACGTAAAAACCGCCGTCCGATCTGCCGACAGTGCGGCAGCGGGTCGCGGTGCAGACGGAGTGGGATGAGACGCCCTCAGCAGGAACCTCTTCATCGTCATCATCACCAACACCCCGGCTCGACCGGCAGCCCCTCGCGGTCTCGGCAAGCCCACGAAAAGGTCGGTCATTTTTTCCTTTCCCTCCCCTCCCCTTGCCTGAAAAACGAACTCTGGATTTTGGTCTCACCGTTTCCTCGTTTCCTCCTTTAGGACGAGTCCCGGCTGGCGCGAGTGAAGCGCGTCCTCGCGGGATCTCTCCTGGGCCGCAATGGCGGGGCGACTCGCGTCTTCGGCGCGAGGCTGGACCTGGTCGACGCCTACCTGGACACCGGAGTGCCCTACGTGGTGCACCGGCTCTGCGGCTACATCGAGGCCCACGGCTTCGAGAGCGCGGCCGTATTTCGGCTGTCCGGGGGAAGCCCCAGAGTGGCCGAGAGGCTGAGGACCTCCTTCGAGCGGAGGGGGGACGCCGACCTGGAGGGCGCGGCGTGTCCCACCACCGCCGCCACCCTTCTCCGGCAGTACCTGAAGGAGCTTCCTCAGCCGGTGGTGCCGTCGCCCCTCGTCGGCAAACTGCTCCACGTCCACGCGAGTAAGAGGACCTTCCTTTGGCAAATGGCGATGCAATTTCCCCCGGGTCGCGACGCGGACGCAAATTGGCTTTTTAGCGTCGATTCCCCCCTGCGACTTGGCGTCGTAAAAAATACGTTGACGCCGCCGCGACGGCGTCAACGAACGGCGTCATTTTCTCGATGACTAAGCGTTGCGGGAAAACGGCTCGCCCCGAAAAAATCTCGCTTGGCATTTTTTTTGCTGGACGCGACTCCACTTTGCCCGCCGATCGACTTTTGGCGGAATCCTGGCGAGTAAGGCGTTTCGGCTCGATAGAGTTTCCTTCTTTAATAAAAATAGTCGATAAGTTGCCGGGGGAAATAAAAAATTCCTTTTACGAGAACCCGCGTCCACGCGGTGTCCTTCGCGACGTGGCGCGGGGAGGATATTAAACGTCGAGGAAAAATAGCCGATAAATGCTTTCCGTTTACCGGTTTTCTAGTTTCATCCGCGGGAGGTCGTTATCGATTACGCGTGCAATTTAATTCATAATTTAATTGGTGCACGTTTGTCGAGCGCAGAGGAGCACGCCAAGGATCACGAATCTTGGATAGCCTCGACGAAGGAGTTACTTTCCACCCTACCACCTTCCCACCACCGGTTGCTGGGATATCTGACGATTTACCTGAGCAAGTACGAGGCGAGACACGGACGCAGCGCCGGAGTATGCGGAGTTTTCGCGCCAGTCGTTCTTCCGCACGTTCCTCCCGCAACGATTCTCCTCCGCGACATTCTGGCCGAGGCGACGGTCCTCTTTCCCGACTGGTGAGTCGTCCCGAAAGGTTCATTTATACGTATTTACGGGTGTTTACGTTAATTACGGGTATTTCCGGAATATTTGCCGAACCCTCCTTACCCTAGAGAATCAGGTCGGCCGTTCTTCTCCTCGCGGACGTGGACGAGGAGAGTCCTCAAAATAATTTCACGGATACGCGAATTCGTTTCTTCGGCTGGAACGAGTTGGCGGAGGAAATCGGTTTCTCCCTGATGCGGAAAAATTCAGTAATCGTCTCGTTATTACTTTTTTTTTTCTTCTATCCGTTTAATGTGCTCGACGGAGGTTTTTTGGGAAAATGGAGGCGCATTTTGTCCCCGGTCTCGGTCGATCGGCGTCGCTTTTTCGTGAGTCACGCGACGAGTTTACTGGTGCACGACGCGGGAGCCCCACCGTGCGTTGCACTTCCGCAAATCGGCTCGGTTTGCGGCCGCGGCTGTTCCGTCGCTTCTCGAGCGGAAAAATCGACCGGTCCCCTGTTTCTCCCTTCTTTCCTTTCCCGGGCCGAGATTTCCGAGGGAACGGTGGCGTCCAACCGGGTTCCCGATTCCCCGAGACTACCCACGTGCTCCGGCAGGTCCGACCCGACCCCGGTGCACGGTCCATTGCGCACTTTTTTTTTTTTTTAATCCTTTATTTAATAACACCATTAAGTCAATTTCAATTTGTACGCGTCGCAGTTTCCGAGTTGGAGATTCATTGAATTTCCAGTTCAGGGAAAATTCCTAAAAATTCCCGGAGCCTTTTTCCTCCTAGCTTCGCAAGTTCTTCCTAAGATTAGTCGCCGAATTAAGGTTTTAAGGTTTCGCCGGAAAGGTCAGGGAAAGTCGTAGAGCCTTTCGTTTCGATACGCGATATCGACCTTCTCGCATAACCGGAGCGCAACTTCTCTATGGATTCCCGACTAAGGTCGGAAACTATTTCCCTTTTTGCCCGCGCTTATAAGGGAAATCGGGGCTGACGTAAGGATATCCAATAAAGTGATGTTATCATTTCTCCCAGGAATTGCTTTCTGGTAGAGCTCGCGATTACTTTGTAAATAGCCCGCGAACCTTGTCACGTTACCTTGCTTAATCGATAAATTATTATTTTTCCCCTGGACTGTGGTACGATCGATCGATCGTCTCTATACGCTTAGCCGATATTTTATTACGCATCGGAAGACGGATAAAATTGAGAATTCGAGCTTCTCGATCCAAATTGAATTTTTTTTTAGTCCGTCTCGAGATCATTTTCTTTTTTTCCTTTGTAGCTTTAATTTTATCCGTCATCTCAATGTTGAGAATCGCTTTGCATGGCGATACTTTTAGGCAATCGTTACGAGGATTGAAGAGCGGGGAATTTAACACTAGAACTACCGGCGGAATTTTTTTTTATAGGATGGCCCATTTGAAACCAGTCATTTTGACTGGTCTTGGTAGTCTAGGGATAAAATACCGTGACCATTCTCACGAGGAACCAAAGGCGATCGAGTTACGAAATTACGTCACCGGGCTGCGAGACGAAACAACGGAAGTTGATTCCGCCTTGTCGTATCGCGCGTATCCAATGGACATTGTAAATCAACGCCAATCGATCCGATAACGCCTTGACTGATAAGTTAATAATGCTGTCATCGAGGATACGATCGATGTCAAGAAAGCCGATAGATAAGGAACGTAATGGAATATCGTGTTCGGACAATTTACTCCTCTAGGAGACGTTAAAGTCATCGTTATAAATTATACAATAGCTATTTTTTTTTTTTTAAAGGTCAGAGCGAGAACCAATTTTCCGAAAGTTTAGAGAATTCCCAATTTACGTTTTCTTCTTAAGCTTTTTAAGCCTGTCTGTGCTTAGTTTGTATTTACTGCAAGAAAATTGTCCATATTTATTCGGTGCTTGGAAAAAAAATGAAAGAAAAAAAAAAGAGAAAAGGGTGTGCCGGAAAAGCGTCAGGGGGCTCCTCGTCTCGAAAAGGCCCCAAAAAGTGGACCCTAGAATGTTTCGGCCTCCCCTTGTCTTGGGTAAGTCCTGGAAAGAGGATTTTAATTGGACTGCGCGTTCCGCCTCTATCCAGGAAAGACTTATTATTTCTTATCCCGCGACGTCTCGACCTTTTCGCCACTTTCCTCCGAGGCGAAACTTCCGGCGACGTTTTTCAACGAGCGGAGCCGGCTCGCGTTTTTCTCCAAAACGTTGCGGAAATCGTCGGGCAAATTTGCTTATTCCATTCTTTTTTTTCTCGGCCCATTTTTATTATTCCCTTTTTATCCCCAAAAAGTGGATAGTCACGCGATGACGCGATTTATTTTATCGAACCGTGACCCGCCTCGTTCCGCTCTGGATCGATTCCCGGCGAGAATGCCCCCGAAATTGTTTTTCCATTTCCGTCGCCGGTCGTGTCGAAATTCACTTTCCCGAGCACGTCTCGTTTACGAGTTTTCTCGAGTCGAATGGCCAAACGGCTCCGACGCTTATGCGAAATATCGAGAAAAATTCAGCTCTCCCGGAAATGCGATTTCACGAGGGGCCTCGAGGAGTCGTAATTCATGTTCGAAATGTGCACTTTTAAAATAAAAAGCTTTGTACGGCTCCACGAAATGGCGGGATTGTCTCGTGGGTATGAATGTCGGACGAACGGGCAGTTACGGTGCAATAATTCTTTCGCGCATCGCGCTCGATTCTTCATCCCCGACATTTGTTAAATCGATAGCCGTCCGATATGAAATCCCGCGACCCCGTTGCCATAGTGCGTGCACCTTTACGCGAACCACGCGATGCAAATCGCGCGTAATGAAATGCAAGAAGCGAAAGGAATTGGCGCAAAGTTCGTCGGGAAATGCCAATGGCCCCTCCAATTCTCATCTCGAACCCCATCGCGTTCCAATTTGGCTTCCATCGAACATCTCGAACAGCTCTTTTTCAATTTTCCATTTAACGCCTCGTGAAGTATTAGTATTATAAGAGGATTAAATAACGACCGAGGGTTCGACGGGAAAATCCATGTCCTTCGGGCATTCCTCCGAGAAATTGCCCCGAGGTCCTTTTAGGAATTTCGTTTCATCGTTACAAGAAAGATGTGGCTATTGTGGGCGGAATAAGTCCGCGGTCGGGACGGAAGGACGGGTTTATCATAGGAAATAAATTCAATCCTTGACCGCGGTCACTGTCGAACGTGGCGGGACTTGGACTGCACTCGCGAGGACTTCCGCGAGTGCACTCTTAGAGTGCGATCCCTGAGTTTGCTTTTTTTTTTTCCACCGTGTTTGCATGTTTACGTGCATGCCCGACCTCGCCGTTCGGATGGCTTTCCTCGTCCCGTTACCGCAATAATTTCGAAATTAGCGCTTCGCTTAATTTACAACGGTAGCGAATTACCCTCCGCGTTAGGGAGCCGATCTTAAGACGTTATCCGGTCTCGACGATGCCCTAACGGCGTGGGGAAAATATTATATTTATTTTGTAATTGTATTTATTTCGGGCATCGAAGGTGGACACGAGGAAACGGAAGAGCCTCGGAAAAGGTAATCGGGGACATTTCGGAGGGTCGGCACACCTTGTGGGACTCGGTAATTCTACCACAGTGCATGAATTATTTATGAAAGTCTCAATACCGAGTCGCGGTGCATCTCCCGTTTGTATCTCAGTTATTAACATAGCTTGCGCTTCTCTCGAGGGAACACTTGCGGGACCCTCTTTAGAAATGTCCGATTAGCCTATTTCGGATAATTGCTCTAGAATGGGGTCAATGCCGAGTCGCGGGTATCTCCCGATGACGACTCGATTTTTACCTTAGACCGCGATTCCGCCCAAAACGAGCCCTTTGAGAACGTCCGACGATCTCGTTTCTTCGGCGAGCGATCAGTCAAGAATCGTTCTCGGAACCGTAAACGTCGCCGGGCGAATTTCGACCGCGCCACGGAAGTGCAATTATTCCCGGGGTCGAGATTACTCAACGAAAGGCGCTATCCAAACTCGGTTTTCTTAGTAATTAGCGACAATCGATTCTAGGAGTCGTGGCATTTGTCTCTCGGTCTAAAGTCGAGAAACGGGCGTCGCGGCTTCGCGCGTCGTCGCAAATCCAAAGTCGACGACCAATCATCCCTCCCGCTATATAAAATTCCGACACCCGGAGGTAATAATTTAAATTTTATCCGAATACATTCGAAGATACACAGGTACACCCGATACGACTAATCGTTCAACGATCGAGCACTCCCTTGGGAGCCGCTATCGTCGTCGCCAATCCAAAGTCGACGACCAATCATCCCTCCCGCTATATAAAATTCCGACACCTGGAGGTAATAATTTAAATTTTATCCGAATGCATTCGAAGATACATAGGTACACTCGATACGACTAATCGTTCAACGATCGAGCACTCGCAAAATTTGACGGCGGACTTTTTCCTTCCTTAACGATAGGCAGGGCTTTGCGTCCCCTTGGGAGCCGCTATCGTGGTCGCAAATCCAAAGTCGACGACCAATCATCCCTCCCGCTCGTATATAAAATTCCGACACCCGGAGGTAATAATTTAAATTTTATCCGAATGCATTCGAAGATACATAGGTACACCCGATACGACTAATCGTTCAACGATCGAGCACTCGGCAAATTTGACGGCGGACTTTTTCCTTCCTTAACGATAGGCAGGGCTTTGCGTCCCCTTGGGAGCCGCTATCGTCGTCGCAAATCCAAAGTCGACGACCAATCATCCCTCCCGCTCGAATATAAAATTCCGACACCCGGAGGTAATAATTTAAATTTTATCCGAATGCATTCGAAGATACATAGGTACACTCGATACGACTAATCGTTCAACGATCGAGCACTCGGCAAATTTGACGGCGGATTTTCTCCTTCCTTAACGATAGGGCAGGGCTTTGCGTCACCTTGGGGGCCGCTATCGCATGGTCGATTAATCCGATTAGGAGTGCACGGATCACGCGGCAAGTAAATGATGCAACTCCATCGATCGGTGCATCCGCCGAGTGCGTGACGGCACGGA